TTCCACCACCACCCCCAGAACCTTCACCAAGTGCATGGCCCCAATCACAGCCTCCTCCATCTCCAGGGAGTAAAAACCTATCCCCATATCGACGATTGGCTCATTGTGGCGGCATAATACCACGACGCCATACAAGCATGAGACAGAACACTTCACACACTCTAAAACCTTGGCCTCGAGGTCAACATCTTGAAATCCCACTTGATACCAAGGCAAATGGCCAAATTCATCGGCATCAAGAGCGCCTCACTCCGTGCCAGAGCGTTCCTGCCCTCAGAACGAATCAGGAAAATACAGCAAGCTGTCCGTCCCTTCCAGTCTCAACACTCAGTCTCAGCTTACCACGCACAATATCTCCTCAGCCTCATGGCCTCGACAACTTCTGTGGTCCAACATGCCAAACTCAAAATGAGATCCTTACAAGCATGGTTTCTGTCCCTCTTCAATCTAATAACAGACACCCCCTCCCCATCCTTACCACTAGCTGTGACACTGGAACTGGCTGCCCAACTCAAGTGGTGGACTTGCCCGCAAAACCTCCTCATTGGCAGACCATTCTCCCCTTTGCGACCAACGATACAGGTCACAACGGATGCAAGTCCCACGGGATGGGGAGCTCACTGCCTTCAACATACTGTTCATGGACTCTGGTCAAAGCAGGAAATAACCTTTCACATAAACCATCTTGAACTGCTAGCAATCATCAGGGCGTTTCAAACCTTCCTTCCCCTCCTCAAGGGACAAGTGGTACAGTTGGCAATAGACAACACCACTGCAGTTTACTATATATCAACAAGCAGGGTGGCACCCATTCTCTTTCTCTTCTTTACCTATCTGTAGACCTTTGGGAATGGTGTTATTCCAACCACATCTTCCCAATCGCTGTCCATATCTCCACCAATGAAAGCTCTCTAGCGCACTGGTTCTTAACCTTGGGTTACTCAGGAGTTTTGGACTGCAACTCCCAGAAGCCTTCACCACCAACTGTGCTGACTGGGGTTTCTGGGAGTTGCAGTTCAAAAGCATCTGAGTAACAAAGGTTAAGAACCACTGCTCTAGCGGATCACCTCAGCTGACTGCCGACAAGGACTCACAAGTGGTCTTTGAACGACGTTGTGTTCCAACAACTATGCCATCGGTGGGGCACACCTTCTATAGACATCTTTGCATCCAAAATCAACAGCAAATGCAGACGGTTTTGTTCCTGAGCCGGAATGGACAACACCTCTCTGGGAGATGCATTCATGATTGATTGGTCCCTTGACTTCCTTTACCTGTTTCCACCTATACCCCTTATCCAAAGGGTAATCATCCGTCTTCGTCAAGACAGAGCAAACGTGATCCTCATAGTTCCCTATTGGCCCCGTCAACCCTTGTTCACTCACCTGGTCTCAATGTCAACAGACATGTTCTGGCTCCCTCTCCGACCAGACCTCCTTTCGCTCAACTGAGGGATGATCTGCCACCCCGACATTGCCTCTCTCGGTCTTGCAGCCTGGAGGATACTCCCGAAGTGATGAACATTATCCTTTGAGCCCGTAAGCCATCCACCACTCTCCTATATGAAAATAAATGGAAATCATTCTTAAAATGATTAAAATGATATGACTTACGTGCCATACCTGTTTCTTTGAAGACTCTACTCACCTACCTTCTTCATCTCTTCAAATCTGGCCTTTCCCTCATCACATTGAAGGTTTACTTATCTGCCATTGTGGCTCACCAGCCAGATGACTCCCCTTCTTCCCAGTTGTTTTCCCATCCAACTGTCAAAACGTTTTTCAAAGGACTCAATAACATTCGTCCTCCACTGCAACCTATTGTTCCCCAATGGTCACTACAGGTGGTTCTTAATGCCCTTATGCACCGCCCTTTCGAACCAATGGCGTCTATTGACTTAAGGCTACTCACTTTAAAATCAGCTTTCCTGGTGGCTATTACCTCAGCCAAAAGGGCCAGCAAGCTTGCTGCCCTTCGAGCTGATCTGCCCTTTACCCAGTTTCATCCTGATAAGGTGACTCTTTACTTTGATGTTTCATTTTTGCCAAAGGTTGTCTCTGACTTTCATTTGAACCAACCTACCATACTACCATCCTTCTTTAAATCTCCTCCTTCTCCATTGGAACATATGCTCCATAATGTGGGCATCAGGCGTGCTTTAGCCTATTTAGAGAGGACAAAAGTCTTCAGGAAAACTAATAAACTCTTCGTATGTTTTCATGGCCCCAACAAAGGAGCACCAGCCTCCCCCCAATCTATAGCACGCTGGATAGTGCAGACCATTTCCTTGGCCTACCAACTGTCTGGAAAATCTCCACCTGAACATCTGACAGCTCACTCAGCCAGAGGTCTATCCACCTCCACTGCCTTTCACCGACAAAAGTCTTCAGGAAAACTAATAAACTCTTCGTATGTTTTCATGGCCCCAACAAAGGAGCACCAGCCTCCCCCCAATCTATAGCACGCTGGATAGTGCAGACCATTTCCTTGGCCTACCAACTGTCTGGAAAATCTCCACCTGAACATCTGACAGCTCACTCAGCCAGAGCTCTATCCACCTCCACTGCCTTTCACTGTGGCACAGAGGTTCCTGACATCTTCCGTGCTGCTATCTGGTCTACACCGTCCACGTTCATGAAACATTACCACTGTGATGCTGCATTTGGCAGAGCTGTCCTGTCCTCCTTCTTACCGTGATGTCCCACCAATCGGTAAGTGCAGCTTGCTAGTCACCCATATGTGTGTATTCACAGAGGCCACGAAGAAGAAAAACAGGTTACTTACCTGTAACCATAGTTCTTCCAGTGGTCCTCTGTGAATTCACACAACCCATCCATCCTCCCCTCAATCCATCACAGGTTAATCGTTTATACCATTTTTTCTTCTCTACCCGGCGGATAAAATTTAGGAACTGGGGAAGATGGTGGGTGGGAGGAGCATATGCCTCATGGGGGATCACACCATAAAATTGTTACTTTTAGCTCTAGAATCTTCCGAGAGAGTCAGCGCAGGCGCAGACAATACCCATATGTGTGAATTCACAGATGACCACTCAAAGAACTATGGTTACAGGTATGCAACCTGTTTTTTTCTTTTGTCTGTTCTCACTCTCACAACACTCAATTGGAGTGAATGTCCCCTGGTTCTGGTATTGCATTAGAGGGAAAAGAGTTTCCTTCTATCCACTTTATCCGTTCCCTGCATAATTTTATAAGTTTCGATCATGTCTGCCCTCTCAGGCGCCTTTTCTCTAGACTAAAGAGCCCTGAACGCTGTAGCCTTTCCTCGTAAGGAAAGCCCCAGCCCAGTCATTTCTGTCGTTCTCTTCTGCACCTTTTCCAATTCCACAATGTCTTTTTTGAGGTGCAGTGACCAGAACAGTATGCAGTACTCCACATGTGGCCTTACCAGCATTTTGTACAATAGCATTATATTGTTGGCTGTTTTATTTTTCAGTTCCCTTTTTAGTGATACCTAGCATGGAATTGGCCTTCTTCACTGTTGCCACACACTGGGTTGACACTTTCATTGAGCTGTCCACCAGCACACTAAGATCTCTTTCCTGATCCATCATGGACAGCTCAGAACCCATTAACTGATAACTAATGTTTTGATTTTTACCTCAATGTGCATTACTTTACATTTTCTTATATTGAAACTCATTTGCCATTTTGCCGCCCATTCTCCCAGTTTGGAGAGATCCTTCTGGAGCTCTTCATAATCCCTTCTGGTCTTCACTGCCCAGAAAAGTTTCACGTCATCGGCAAACTTGGCCACCTCACTGCTTATCCCTGTCTCCGGGGATCCCTTCAAGCTCTACAATCAATCTCTTCTACTTTATGAATATTTATATAATAGAAGAATTTATGTTCTTCCCAGGGATTCTTGATTTAGAACTATGACGCCTCTTTAACACTTGCTTAATTTTGCCATGTAAACATGCTGTAACTAGCTGGATACCTCAGTAAGTTGGATACCTGACTGGAGAACCAAGGTCAGGAGTTTGAGTCCTTACTGCACCTTGTAGGAAAGAGCCAGCCTATGTAGCCTTGGGCAGACTGGAGAAGGGAATGGTAAACCACTTCTAAGTATACTTTGGAAACCTTGGATAGGATTGCCAGAAATCAGAACTCACTTGCCCACATGTCAGCAAGCAAGCAAGCATGCTGTCCTGGGTTTCAAAATTATTTGTAAAATTAATGTATTCGTGAAGGCTTTCACGGCCGGGATCTAATGGTTGTTGTGGGTTTTTCGGGCTTCTTGGCCGTGTTCTGAAAGTGGTTCTTCCTAACGTTTCGCCAGTCTCTGTGGACGGCATCTTCAGAGGACAGCAAACTGTGCTCTGGAAATGTTAGGAAGAACCACTTTCAGAACACGGCCAAGAAGCCCGAAAAACCCACAACAACCATTTGTAAAATTAGCAACTCATCTGTTGTTAATTGAAGACTGGGATTGCTTCCAGCTGGTGATTCCAATGTATGTCACCTGCAAAAGGATTGCAATTTGAGTCCATGCATAAGGGGTTAAAGAGGTGGCAACTGAGTCCTTAGCTTTAGCTGTACAGCTCTTGGTTTATATTTTGCATGGACCCATCATTCTGGACAGGAGAGATGTGGTCACAGTCAAGTGAGAAACTTTCCCTAAGCAATACTGGCCTGTTTGTTGCTCACTACTTGCTTACAACATTAAACCTGCATTTGTTGATAAACATGATGTGACCTTCTGTTTAGATAGATCTGCTACAGAACAGTAAGAACCCACTTAACCCCCAACAACCAAAACAATCTGCCTTTTGCAAACGAGGTAAAGCCAACAAAGCTAAATGACACCTGGAATCGCTTTCTTGTATGTTGTTTTTTTGGAGGGGGGGGGACAAATTTGATATACCAGGGCATCCCTCTGGTGCTACCTTAGAAACTGGCCTAATTTTTTAAAAGAGAGGACATTGAATTATAACAGTATAAGTCAGCTGACTGCTTTGTCACAGAGCTGCTGCTTTCTACACTATCGCAAGTGCCAGAGCTCTCAGTGCTGCAGTTTTCTAGACGCAGTGCGGCAAAGCAGACGCCTAGAACCGGGCATGGAGCAGCGTAGGTTTTATTATTTTTTTACTACCCAAAAATTCATCCATCTGTTTTAATATACTGAACATTTTTTGCTTTGGTTACAGTACAAGGAACAGCGTACCACCACCTGGATGTGCTTCTTGGCTTCTGACATTAGCAGCGTCTCTGAACTGAGGCAGGCACACTGCTTGGAGCTTTTTACTTAAATTGCTTCTGATGAAGAATGATTTTTTTTTTTATTTTTTGGTCTTGTACGTGAACAGTTGCTTATGCCACAGTGATATATACCTGCAAGAACAGGACAAAGGAGACGATACCTGTTACTGTTTTGGGGCCTTCCCCCCCCTTTCCATCTCCCCCCCTTTTTTCTTCAGACGATCTGCTGCTCAAGCCGACTCACTGTCCTAGAGTCATATGTTAGTTGTGCTCCTATAGATAGGCACTGCTTCTCAGATCCGTTAGAGCAAAAAAGGCAGACAAGAAAGCAGTCTCCCTGACCTAAATCAATCCCAGCCCTTCTGGACGGATGCAGGATAGCTGTCGACTAGCAGTGACACAACCAGCCATCAAGTGGAGAATCTCTGGGATTGCAATCCGTTTTGGTTTCAGCCTGTGAGAATCGAATGCTCCACTTCCTTACCCAACTGCTGCCGTTTTTGTGTTTTTGTGTTTATATCTCTTGGCCCTAAGCAGCTACTTGGGTCTCTTAAGTGTACCTTTGTATGGATTAGCCTGTCGACACCATAGTCCTTGTCCGCGTCATGCTGGAATCAAGGGCACTGAAGCCAGCCTGCTTTAACAGTTGTTTCTTTCTGCGTGATGCTATGCAGCTAGAATGCTTTATACAGACAACAAAGGAAGACACAGAAAACACCACTATCATCTGGGTTGTTTCAGGAAAAATAGAAGTCTTCGTCAGTGCATTATATTCTTTTTGTCTTTTGCTGGGTTTTTTCCCTTTCTTTTTAAAACACCTAATCAAACAGCCTAAGAGGCATCGCTGTGGATGTGGGTTTTTAAAATGCTATGGGGGAAAAGAAAAGACAGCTCATGGAGAACTGCGATTTGAGGCAAGCTGCACATCTTTTACACTGTTGCTGATTTGAAATGCTCAGGTTTGGCGAAGAGGAAGCCCTAAGGGACAAGTTCAGTAACTAAGAAAGCGATGGTAGATAAAAAGAAATAAAAATGACAAGCGTAATGGAGGCTCAGTAGAAGGAACTGTCAGAGAAATCAGTGCCTGGATGGCAATCTTACCCAGTCTGAATAATTATGAATAATTCATTGAACAAAATTACTCTGCTTTCACCTTTTCCACTTAAAATGGCATGATGTGAATCTCCAATAAATTTTCAAGATAAAATATAATGCCAATTTGAATCTGAAGAGCTTTTTGCAGCCAGATGCTGCATTCTGATTTTTTTCCGATACCTTTCACAATTATTCTGTGAGAACCCCACTTCATCACAAAGCACCATTACCAGTGAAAATTACTGTGATTACAATGGCAACAATAGAATGCCATCAAACGTTTCTAATTTTACTAATTTACTAAAGGCTGACTGAATTGGTTTTCATGCCCAGGTCTCCATGCCTGGCACCTTGGATCTGTAGCAGAATGAAGCAAAAGTGGCTGGGTAATGTGTCCTATTCACCACCTTTAACGTCAACAGCCTAAGAAAAGAGGTAGCAGTCTGTTAATCACGGTTGCGGCCATCTATGTTTCAATCTTGTCTTCCAGCATTCTGGATTGTATTGTTTTAGCTCCTGGTCATAAGATGGGACTCTGTTAACAGGTTTGTTTATAAAAGCGCTTGAACTACAGTAATTTGTTGAATGATCTGTACTGCTGAAGAAATAAGTATAGTTTGATTTAGTTAAGTTCACCCGTTTCTTTCATTTGAAGAGATGCCTGCTTTCAAATTAGAATAGGTTTCATTTGCAACTGACATCTAAAGTTAAGCTACCTAAATATATAGTCAGAAGATGGGTGCAGTCGATAAAGCTATGTAGATAGCTTTTAGTATTGTAAAAAAAAAAACCTCCTATTTAACCCCAACTCTGTGTTTTTACAATTATATATTTTATTCAATTAATATCTGTTAATCATTTGAACAATGTTTATTAAACAACCAGGCAAAAATGTGGGGAAATTTTGAAATATACAGCTGTTCCCAATATGACCTTTTGATAAGCTTTTTCGATAGGAGACCTCTGTTAAGGAACTTACCAAGGCTGTAGAAAGGATTCAAGAAACCATGTATTAAATGGGTTCATTCAGTCTATATATTGAAATGGAATGTTGTGAACATAAGTTTTGAGGCATATTCGTTCTAAATGCAATTGTGGTAATAAAGAACAGCTGGAATATCCTGGCTAAAATCTGCTCTTGGCTAGAAGATTCCATTAATATAAACTTCTGCCTTAATTGTATCTTCTCTTTTGTCAGGGGCTTGATTGACTCTTTATAGGATTGTTTTTACTTTTTCTTTTTGTAAAAGTGAGGAATGTATGCCTTAGTTCTTGTCCACTGCATTTCATTCAGCACTATCTTACTTGCCTGGCTGTTTTCATATGACTGGGTACCTGACTAGTATAACAAAAGCACATTTAGCAAAATACATCTAATGTGCTTTTCAATAATGTGCTTTAAATATATTTTAATTTTGGCTTTTATTTATACGAAGCATATGGCTTTGTTGGAGGATTGCCGTTGCGTTTTGGCTTTCATTGTATTTTAATTTGAGCATTGGATAAGAATGACAAGTAATTTGGGCTCCAGTAATTTATGTGCCACACTCTGGATCAAATATAAACTTTGCGATTTAGATGCACTGTTTTTAACTTTCCTTGTTTGACTCTATACCACATTTTGCATTGGAGGACAGAATGTAAGGAGCTTCATGCGTCATGTAGTGGACTAACAGAAAACCCAAATCTGTCACTTTGTGGGCAATCCCGCTTCTGCAGTTGGCTGTAGTTCCCCAAGGAGAGCCCTAGATAGGTGAAGTAGAGAGGCTGTCACCAGAAAGAAACCTCAGAAACATTGCTAGCGAATGTATACCAAAATAAATTTGAGTTGCCATATGAAATGTTCATGTAATCACATAATAACAACAACATGCAACAATGTTTTCAAGGGTTTCTAAGTACAGAGTACTCAGAAGTCATTTACCATTCCTTTCATCTGGGGGCATTCTATGATTGTGCAGCTTACCCAAGGCTACACAGGCTGGCTCTTTTCCTAGGAGACACAGTGGGGAATTGAACTGACCTCTGCCTCCTCAACTCCCTGTGTTACTGTAAGCTCACAGTTTAACGTTGTTACTACCAGAGGTTATCATCAAAGTCAGCTTAGGTACTATTCAGTCATGCTCAGTGCATATACTGTAATTATTTTAATGACAGCAGTGCCCATAGTGGCTTATTCCACTGGTTCTTAACCTTGGGTTACTCAGGAGTTTTGGACTGCAACTCCCAGAACCCTTCACCACCAGCTGTCCTGACTGGGGTTTCTGGGAGTTGCAGTTCAAAAGCATCCGAGTAACAAAGGTTAAGAACCACTGGCTTATTCAACAGTATCCTAATCCTAGGAAATGAAAAGCTGTCTTCTTCCCAGAATGATCCTCATATGGCAACCTCTAGAAAAATGGATGCTAGACTTAGGTATGACTAACGCACCCTGATTCCTTAAAAAAAAAGACCTAACCTGAAAATAAACCCTAGTATGATTTTTCAGGATGCTTGTAATATAAGCCCTACCCCGAAAATAAGCCCCCGTTAAGTGAAACCTCGCTCTCCACCCTTGTGCAGCAACCAGAAGAAAATGACATGACTGTATTTGAAGAAATGTATATTGTTGTACAGTACTTGAAAAAAATCCCCTGAAAATAAGCTCTAATGCGTTTTGGGGGGCAAAAATTAATATAAGACCCTGTCTTATTTTCGGGGAAACACAGTAATATTCATTGAATTCAAAATTTAAGCATTACTAATCCTGGATCTTCAGTGTGGTGTAGTTGACAGAGTGATGGACTAGGACTCTGGAGAACAAGGTTCAAATTCCCATTTGGCCATGGAAACTCACTGGGGGAGTGGAACTGGTAAAACCACTCCATAAATATCTCACTTATCTTGAAAGCCCTACTAGGGTTGCTATAAGTTGGTTTCGACTTGGCAACACAGAACACACATAATCCTGGACCCAGCACAATAAATAGAGCTAAGCTGTTGAGGTGCCCAAGTAATTCTTGTAATATCATGTCTCAGGATCATTAGTAGCCCACCTCTTCTGTAGCTAGAAGTCAGAGAAAAGTTTCCAACTGCTTCAGTGCTGCAAGCTCTGGTTCTAGATCTAGAGTCTCTTTGTGGTGACAACACCCACACCACATTTGTAACACTATGCCAGTAGAGGGGGCCTTGTGTCTGGTTCTAGGCATTCCACAAGTGAGTAAGTAGAACAAGGTTGTAAATAACCATGAAGTGAACACAAAACAAAACGAAAAACCCTGAAGCATACTGTTTATATACTGTCCCATAGTGCTTAAAGCACTCTTTAGGACTCTGGCAATTTAATTATGCAGGCTACACATTGCCTCCCTTATGCATACTGGGTACTCAGTTTACCAACTTCGAAAGGATGGAAGCCTGAGTGAACTTTGAGGCAACTACCTGGTATTGAACCCAGGTTGTGAGCAGAGTTTTGACTGCAGTATTGCAGTTTAACCACTGCATCATGAGGTTTCATAAAAGGCTTGAGTTTGTTTGTTTTTGTCTGTACTAGAAATGGGGGGGGGAGTTAATAAGGGCCCGGCCCCAGGGGTATGACTCTCTGTTCATGCATCTGCCAGTGGCGGCAGCCCCACTCTTCCTTCCAGTCACTCTGAAGCGCCTGGTCAATTATTCACTCCTGGCAGAAGGAGGGAAAACAAGTCTCCCTGCCAGGCTGGTGACTGGCTAGCCAACCAGGCACTCCGAAGTGATTGGAAGGAAGAGCGGTGCCGGTGGTGGACTCGTGAGTGGATGGTCTGGCCCCAGGGGCCGGACCCTCGTCAAGTCCAGCTGTGCAGGGGTATTCGTAAATGAATACGAATACTCCCATCTCTTGTCTGTACCAAAGTAAGTGTAATCTTTCCTGAAGTATTGGACAGAATTTTGGAGGATAATAGCAAATTGTGCAGCATTTACAAATTAAGGAAGAGCAGGGCAAAGGGCACCAGCACTATTGCTTTTTGGGTTCTTCCTAATAACACAGAGATCTAAAAGTATTGACTGATTGCCTTTCTCATATACTATCCTGAATCCTTATACTGTACTTGTACGTGAAGTTACATAGAATATTTACTGCCCACCTCAGCAGCCTTAGATCCTGTCCAGTACAGAAGGTGATTTGAGGCAGCCTTACTTGGAGTGCAGTGAGTGCCACATATTATTGAAATATGTGGCAAAAAACAAATGCCCCTTTTTCATATATTTTCCTAATCAAAAAGGGTACTCACATGGTTCTGGAGAGAGAGATGGAGGAGGTATGTTCCACTTCAGGTATATGATTGCAGAGAAGATGGGTGTGCTTTTTTCTTGCTACAGTAATTTGCACTAGACCTCAGTATGTGTCCGTTCCATTTATTACTGCATGTTACACCATTGGGGCCACCTAATGCATATTGGCCTTCTTATTCTTTACAATATCAGCAATGACTGTGCATCATAAAATACCATGTTGTGCTAGCACTGCAGATTTTATTTATGTATTATTTTATTTATAAACAATGTACAGCTTGATGTAGTAAAATCTCCAAGATTATGTTTTTTCTATTTAAATGTGTCTCTTACATATTATAAAAACTAGTATATAACATATTCAAATTAATTAAAGAAATAATAAATTATTTAAAAACCTCCAATAATGCAAAAATAAAACAGTCAATAATAATACTGGCTGCTTGAGACATATGTAAGCAGTTTACTTTTCGGCCAGCAATTAAAGAGGTTCTAATCCAGAGGATGGATGGATTGAAGACAGGCAAACAGGCAAGCAGACAGATATACAGATTCATAGGTAGATTTCTCTTTGAGAAGACACACATTTAGCTCAATACAGAAGCCACAGCCTTGAGTTTGCAAAAACTGAGCAGCGTTGTTAATGATATAAAATGGGACAAGTAAATTAAAAGAAAAAATATATAAGAAGAAACATGCACACATGCATACACTCATATACTCTGTTTCTTAAGAATCAGAGGGCTAGATATAACTGGTTTACCAACGTCAAATGCTACGAAAAGGGACCAAAAGTACCTCTACACTCATATACTCTGTTTCTTAAGAATCGGAGGGCTAGATATAACTGGTTTACCAATGTCAAATGCTATGAAAAGGGACCAAAAGTACCTCCTTGGTAAAAAAAAAAAAAAGATTCCAAAACTGGGTGCAACTGTAAACAAGACCTGTTGCGCATATCCATTGGTCTAACTTTGGACGATATTCAAAGCAGAGTCTCTACCAAAGATTCCATTGGCTGAAATCCTGTTGAGTAGCTACATTTGCATAATTAAACATTACACAAGCAGTAGCTCTAATCACACCAAGGCAGAAGTGCTATTCACAAGCTACTTTCACAAGTGCATTGTACAGTCTGTTGCAATAGGAACTACATGCCCAATTGCATAATCCTCATAGCCTGTGCCTAACACCTGTCATATTTTTGATAGCCTAACTTTACATTTTACAGAGACAATGAAGATTCTGGTCAATGATTAAAGAATTGAATGTCCTGGACCCAACATGTTTCAGCCTTTAAAAGTCAAAAATAGTACTTTGAATTGGGCTGAGAAGTGAATGAAAGGTTCAGTGCAGTTCAAAAAGCAGATTATATAAAGAGTAATGCTTACAATAACTAAACACGTGTGCAAGATTAGTAAATTAGCAATACCACTGTATTCAGTGTGAATTAATTCCAGGTATGTGGGCATAGAATGGATCCTAAATTCTTTTTTTAGGGATCAGATGAAATAATAAACTTTGATATGGTCAATTCATGCTTCTTCAGACAAAATTAAAAATAAAACAATGTGACATCTTTAAAAGAAATTTTAGATTTCAATGTGAGTTTTTGTGGATACATCACTTCATGCTGTGCACATGTATGAAGATACAAAAAGCATACAGTGTTCAGAACCTATGTATTCCAGCTTAAATCCAATGGTGCAAATATCCACAGAAAATTGCCAGTAGTCATGGAGTGAATGTTTATATTCCTTGTCTCATGCCAACCCGTATGACTGACACATGATGAGGAATAAAAGTGTTCATGCCTTAATTGGTGGCAATTTACAACAGAGATTTACACTACTTGTATTTGACTTATGCTAAGAAAATGTAAGCAAGAGGATTCTGGTCAGTATCTTTTACACTGTTTTATTGGGGGGGGGAGTAAAAAGATGACAGAAGATCTATGGAAAAGCCATTTTGCATTTTGGACGTTATATGTCAAACTTAATTTTCTTGTTTTCTGTTTCCCTCTTCTCATCTTACAGATGGACCGTTCTTGGATATAATCTCTCTGTATGTTCATGAAAGTTTCCTTCCATTTAAAGCCATGATATCCTAAGGTATCTGTAGCTTTCAGTGCACATTTCATCTAGGCTTTTGGCTCTTAATGGATTAATGCATTTAGTCTTTAGCATTTGAGTCTTTGGTTCACTGCATCTTCAGTGGAATGGATATGAACAGGTGTCTACTTCAATAAAATGAATAAGGAAACTTGTTTACTACTGAAAAGTTAATATCTCACCATATCATAGCTTATAACCATCGTAAAAACCCACAGGACCTACTGTTTATAAAAGCAATAAACACAAATTTTACTGACATAAAACAATGACAAGCAGAAATTATAAGCATAGCTCAATTAAACCCCATTTTCTGTATGGAAAAGATGGTCATGCAGAGCCTTCTGAAAGCCATTTGGCTCAGTTTTGGTGAACCTTCCTCAGAAGGCTGTTGCCGTGTACTGAGGACACACCTAAAATCTTTTTGCTAAAGTCAACTTTCCTTAACACAGTGATAGAACAGGGAGCGGAGCATTTAATGCAGATCTAAAATGGCGTAATGCAATGTAAGCGTGCCCTTCCCAGGATATGAAGTGTTTTGAGGGTGAAATAAAGCCAGCACCTTCACTCACTTGGTGAGAGTTAGCATGTAGACAGCTACCAGAGTCTCAGAGAGGTCCTGGAGGATTATGCTCCCAATGAATGCCAAACTCAATTTTAGGTCTAGAAGCTGCCATTTTAAGTCTTCGCTGTTTTTCAAACAACACTTCATCTGAGGCATTGTGAGAAATTAAATCTTTGCTAGGAATAAGCTGGTCTTCAGTGGACACCAAGCTTGCTAGGAGCCAATGGCCTCCTAAACCTGAGGTTAGACCTGTATAAAATATTAAACCACATAAACAGATTGTGTGATGTACACTTAAAAGAACAAACTGCTGAATGGTACTGCATAAAAGTTTGGCATTTGATTGAAACATACTGTTCAGGAGATAGCCCAGTCCTAACCAGGTTTACTTAAAGCAAATTTTATTTTACTTCCATTACTTCCCATTAAATATATTTAGGACTGGGGCCTAAATATATATACTTCAGACTTACAGTAATCTTAATAGAGCTGGTAAAGTACATGAGATGTCGAATGAGTAGTTTACCCTGTAAATCCCTGTTTAGCTATGGAAACCCAAAATCCCTATTTAGCTATGGAAACCCATATTTTAAGAATAATGCATGTAATGACATGATAAAGTCAGTGAGGTGGCATACCACTCTGCAACATCACGTCTTATAATGACATGTCTTCAGTATGTTATGTTTGTTAAAAGGACAGGCTCTGTTTCCAGATCAACGTCCATTGGTTTACTTCTTGAATCTCAAATATTCAGTCTCAGGTTACAAGGCTGGGGTTGCCTGTATGGCCCAGGTTCCTTGAAACCCATACAGTGGGGTCTTGACTTGAGAACTTAATCCGTATTGGAAGGCGGTTCTCAAGTCAAAAAGTTCTCAGGTCAAATCTGCATTTCCCATAGGAATGCATTGAAAACCATTTGATCCGTATCTGCTCTTTTCCGTCCATAGAAACTAATGGGAAGCTGCTATTCTGCCTTCGACCACTACTGCTATTCCGCCTTCGACCACTAGAGGGGGATATTTTGTTTCTTTTTTTCTTAGGTCAAGAAAGGTTCAGGGAAGGCAGGGAAAATACAGTCCAGGCAGTACAGTAGCAGGCAGTCCGAAGACTGTCTCCCAATCCACTCTCTAAACACTGGGAGGAGTGAGGAAGCAGACAGGCACCCTTTTCACTGGCCAACAGTTAACTGAAAGTTCAAATTTTGCACTTTCCCTGCCTCCCACGTGGTTTTTTTCAGTTCTTCTCAAATCTAAGTATGTAAGTCAAGTCAATATTTTCCTGTGAGAGTGGTTCTTAAGTCAAAATGTTCTTAACTCGAGCCGTTCTTAAGTCAAGACCCCACTGTATATATACATGGGTTTCCATAGCTAAATAATGATTTTGGGTTTCCATAGCTAAACAGGAATTTTGGGTTTCCATAGCTAAACAGGGATTTACAGGGTAAACTACTCATTCAACATCTGATGTACTTCACCAACACTATTAGGGTCACTATAAGTCTGACGTATATATAATGATAGAATATAAAAGCAACAATCTTAATTCATTTTTATTTGAGATGAGTGACTGGTTATTTTTATTTTATGTATGACACAATTTTTAGGCTAGCAGTTGAAAGAAAATGAAGGCCAGAATCCTATTGCATACATATGCTGCCATAAGTGCAACAGTGTAAATGGCACTTGCAAATTGCTGTTAGTTAAGGATTTGATGCTTGTATTCCTTGTTGCACAATCTACATTTGCAATAAGGAATACAAATTCTTTAACTGGTAGCAATTTGCAGCTTTGATTTATGCTATTGCACTTACAACAGCATACATAGATACTAGAATTCTGCCTAAACCATGTGAAATTAAAATTGATTGTTTCTTTAGATACCTCTACATAAAAGAGTACTGAGGTTTTCAAAGAGGTAGTTGTATTAGTCTGTTTCAACATGTAGAACAAAGTAAAAACTAAAGCTTTATGGTACCTTAAAGATTAAGGCTGATATCCTGGTCATTACAGGATCGCTGGAGGGCAGAGTCTCCTTTGTGTGCCCAGCCTCATTTTAATGTACAGAATATTTCAGTTTATATTTCACTTTATTCTGTATATTTCAGTTGATTGATTTCACTGTATAAGAATGTATTTTTACACAGGGAAGCTTGTGCATTCTAGTGAATCCCATACGTACCAAAGTGCTTTTATTTTTTTCGCATTTGCAAAACACATGCAAGAACTAAACACTGCAATACCATGCCTGAGCCTGATTTCTCAGAAGTAAGTTCAACTATTTTTGATTGAGATTATACACATGAAAACGTACTTTTAAGAATAATGTATGTAATGACATGATAAAGTCAGTGAGGTGGCATATCACTCTGCAACATCACGTTTTATAATGACATGTCTTCAGCATGTTATTATGTTTGTTCTTCTCAAAAGAACAGGCTCTGTTTCCAGATCAACGTCCATTGGTTTACTTCTTGAATCTCAAATATTCAGTCTCAGGTTACAAGGCTGGGGTTGCCTGTATGGCCCAGGTTCCTTGAAAATGCAGATATGTTTACCCACAGATGGAGACAGTAGCACATCTTAGGATTTGGATTGTTCTTTTCATATATATTGCAGTAAAGTTCGAACCTCTGTAATATGGTATTCAGAGATTATAGCCAGCTTCTTATGGTACAACTTGGCACACACTGCACAGACAGAAGCTGGTGTCAGCAAAGCCATAATTTAAGGCAAGGAAAAAACCTAGTTCTTTGTTCTATGTGTAACATGATTTTGCTGGATAATTTCTTTGGTTTCCAACCAAGGAACCATTTTTTATTTCTCAAAGAAAGTACTTTTGACATGCTTGGATTTTGATTCAGTTTATAAATAACAGAGTTATGAACTCATGAACATATGGAACAGTTTATTTTTCTTCCAAGGTTTTTAGCTGCAGGAAATTTTACAATAAAGCTGCCCTTGGACTCCACTGCTGAGTAAGTTCATCCTATTTCCCATGTTAATTTTTTCCCTCACAGGTATGTTCTCACACATCACTTCTGAGTTGAGGAACGTGCCATTAGATGTTTAATGATGGCTGCCTACAAAAGGTAGCTATTTCAAGAATCTAGTTGTTATGTGCTGTCAACTAATTTTCAATTCATGAATTAATGACTTCCTGTGAATTAATTACCTCCAAAAGGTCCTATTATTAACAGCTTTGCTCAGGTCCTGCAAACTCAAGACTGTGCCTTCCTATGGGTTAATCACTCTCATGTTACATCTACATCTTTTGCTTTTGCCTTCAACTTTTCCTAGTATTACTGTCTTTTCCGGTGTATTTTCTCATGATAACACATCAAAGAATCAAGAATCTGGAGGAATCTAAATCTGGGAGTTCTACTTACCCTAAATTTGGGAGTTTAACATTCTAGGGCAGTGATGGCAAACCTTTTTGAGCTTGTGTGCCCAAACTAGGGGGAAAAAAACAAAAAACAATGGGTGGTATGCCGGAGGACCCGGAACTGGAAGTGCGGACCTGGAACTGGAAGTGGCGGTGGAAGGGGGAATCCTGGCACAGAGGTGCCTCAAGGCCCCTCCGCTGCCAGCACCAGTTGCTCCAGATCCACCTGCCAAAGCGCTAGCACCAGCTGCATCTGCCTCCTGAGGTTGGGGGGGCGGGGGGCGGGAGGAGCAGCAATCTGGCGACCTGTGGCTCACATGCCAGCAGAAAGGGCTCTGTGTGCCAGCCGTGGCACGCATGCCATAGTTTCGCCATCGCTGTTCTAGGGTATCCATTCAGTCAAGGGTACACATATTCCCATTAACTCCCCAGCTGTGTATGAGAAACATATTACAAGAGTTAGTCTTAGTCAGAGTGTGGAATTAGCTAGGGAGAAATAGCTAATTAATTAATTAATTAGAAAATTAATTTGTTATGCCAGCAATGATAGTATAACTAAGTTATTACAATTGTAACATCGCTAGGGAGAAACAATTCTCCCTTTGATATTCTAATTATTTTTATAGTTATAAGGGTGTAACATTTGCAACTGGTTGAAGAGAAATATCCCATGCTTCAGGTGCTGACTCAACCATGCTCTGTTGTACGTGTAGAGACAACAAGGTGAAAAGGAAAACAGTGCTGTTTGTACAGCAGGTCAACAACTCCTAGCATTCACAGATTTATTTTTTAGAAAATAACTAAAGGTAAGTATTTTAGGTACCTTTTCCTGAGAGATAGGAAAATGGAGGGTTGCCTTTTTATCCCAGGAACTATGACAGTAACGAATTATTTATTGGGGCTCTGGAATTGTAAATAAACATTTGTTAACAATACATTTCATGCTCTGACCTCAGTATCTTAATTTTTTTTCTTCATAGACTACCAGAGACAATTGTGTTAACTTGTTGCAGTTCTTCACACATCTGAACACACACAAAGGAAACAAGATCACAGTTGCAAACCCTCCTAATGAGTGTCTGCTTTCTGTATCTTCTGCAACCCCTGGGTACATACAGCTTGTGTATAGGCTGCATATATGCAGATGGATTGTCTGCATAAATGATTTGTATGCACACAGAGACTACACAGGCAAGTCAGGGGTTGCCACATCTCTGTGTGTACCTCACACACATAGGCCATTTGAGGGTATTTATTGTTTGTGCTTGTTATGTGCTGTCAGGTCCAAACCAACATATGGGGACCTTAATAGGGTTTTCAAGGTAAGTGGGATATCTAAAGAATGGTTTAACCAGTTCCACTCTTTCAGTGAGCTTCCATGGACAAGTGGGGATTCAAACCCTGGTCTCCAGAGCTCATCACTCTACCTGTTACACCACACTGGGCACATTTCATTTTATTAAGACTATTTAGACTATAACATAAGATGAATTCATTTAATGCTATGTATCAGACATCTGTCTGCTGAATCTGACAGCAACTGGTTACGGCCAGGAAATGCATTACTCCACATGCGCACATCCAAATTTCCAGCAGCACAGCTGTTGATTGCAATCTGAATAACACTTTCATTGAAATGGGGCTATAGGATATTTTCCAACCATGCAGCAACTTTGTAACTATGATAACCTTTTGTTGCAAGGAGGGATAAATATATTCCAGTGAGTAAATAAAATAACTCAGGTATTCTCAGTAGGGTTAAAAGTACATGTACAAAGGGAAGCAGAAACAAGGACAGTAACTCCCTCCATGTTATTTTGTCACCTTCTTACAGGTAGTGGCCTCCTTTCTGAAGAGTCTCTTCTCACCCTGTGATTTTGAACCCTGGTCTTCTGGGGCTCCAAAATATGGGCAGAAGAGAAAAGAGCTTCTCATGGAGAGAAGATTTTCTTCTCTTTTCGTCTAAATTGCTAACAAAAATATTAGTGCAGGGGATAGAGCCCAAGCCAGGAAAGATTACATTTTTGCACTTCCGCTCTCAGGACACCCGGTGGTTTCTGGTGCTTGTAGTCCAAAAATTCAACTTCCCCAAGTTTTGAGCATGAGTTAATCCTTTGCTTTAATCCTACATAGAATGCCTAAACAGGGCTGTACAGTATTCACCCTGGTGAATGGTCCACACACATCAAATGCTAACAGCTGTAGAACTGAAGTACAGAAATATATGATATTAATGACCATGTTGCTTCATTTTGTTTTCTCTTTGTTTTGTGGTAGGTAGCTGATTATGTGAAAGTGCTTGTTTGCCATTCTCCCACATTGAAGGCGGTGTGTGAAGGGCCCTTTAGGAATTCTACAATTTACTTTCAGATGTGCAATCCCACCGCAATAGTTATGGCAGCAGGAGCCTTCCCTTATTTGATGAAATTTTATTTTAGCCTTCTTTTGTCTGGCATGCTGCCCTTTTTGTTATGAATAGTGTTATTACAAGGGCCATAGCCAGATGCCTCAGTAGGAATCTTTTCATTAGACTCTCACTGTTTATACCTATTCAAATTTGAGGCTCTATTTTACATTAAATACCTGTTTTCACACATACACTACTTTTGGTTCCAGCTTGATATTTTGCTTCACCATAATATACTTTGTGTTGAGACAAGCAAAGTAACTGAAGTTTTATGAAGGATTTTTTAAAAAAAGTAAATAACATCTTACTAAGGACTTAAAACTGAAGTTTTATGAAGGATTTTTTAAAGAAGTAAATAACATCTTACGAAGGACTTAAAAAATACTTAGCTTGTGGCCAGTCTAAAGTTGATAATCTAAATCCTTTTTAGCAGCTAGGAGAATACACTGCTCCAAATGATTCGGAAACACCAGTACAGGAAGTTAAAGGAAAGTAGAACATTGTCAGGAAAAAAACTGGGAGATCCCATCAGGCACTTGAACATGGTATGTGGGTGCACCACTTTATGATTGATCATAACAGCTGTTTCCTTATTAGTTTTAATTCTGTGTGGCATCAAGTCAATTATGACTCATGGTGACCCTTGCCAAGGTTTCCCAGGTATAAAGAACTCAGAAGTGTTTTACCAGTCCCTTCTTCCTGGGGGTGCTCTGGGACTATGTCATTTGTTCAGGGCCACACAAGCTGGTTCTTCTGCTGGGAAGCACAATAGGGAATTGAACTCCTCCTGACCCTTGGCTCCACAGACAGGTGTTCCAACTTGCTGAGGTATCCAGCCAGCACTAGGCTTACGTCTATCCCATTCAAAAGAAAGCATCCCCAAGCCCAGTTCAGCACCTGCCTTTTAAAACTTTTTTTTTTTTTACGTTCATGAAGATAAAATAAGAACTGTCATATGGCTTAAAATATTTGGATAATCAATGTTGAAAATCATTGTATTCCTATTTATTGTTGGTTTATTTAGTTTGCAGAGACACTGGTAAATTAAAGGGACACAGGCAGTACTGTGGGTTAAAAGGAGTCACCGGGTTGTCAGTCAAAAGGTCAGTGGTTTGAATCTGCATGATGGGATGAGCTTGCCTTGCTTCTCCCAGCTCCTGCCAACTTAGCAGTTCAAAAGCAAGCAAATGCCCGTAGATGAATTGGTACCATCTTGTTGGGAAGTTAATGGATATCTGTGTCTAGTAATGCCAGCCACGTGACCCCAGAAAGTGTCTACAGACAAACTCCAGTTCTTCAGCTTGCAAACGGAGATGAACACCAGCCCCTAGAGCTGGACACAACTGGACTTCATTGTCAAGGGGAACCTTTACTTTTACACTGGTAAATAGTACAGGGTTTGCTGCAGAAGCAGAATGAATTCAAACTTTTAAAAAACTGATCACATGATGTAAAGGCCAATGTGAACCAGCCCAACCCTTTTTACTTTAGATATGGACGTCCCGTTTCCCCCCCCCCGCTGCTGGGGGCTTCTACTTTTTTAAAAACTGGAGCAATTGAAGTGTCATTTTTTTCTATAGAATTAAGTGTTTTGTTCTTCAAAATGAGAGGGGATGTGATCAGTATTCTGATAAAGTACTAAGCTGAGGGTGATGTTCTGGATAGCAGAAAGACTCCCTTCTGCAATATTTCTCCCTAGTCACCCCAAAGTATTTTTTTAGCCCTGTGGTGCAGTGGTTAAACTGCAGTACTCCAGTCAAGACTGCTCATGACCTGAGTATGTGTCTATACATTTGTAGATTATGGAGAATATTGGAAAATTGTTCCCTCCCCCTTAATGCTTAATGCATAAAAGGAGAGCAAGAGATTGGCAAAGAGTGTGATCAAAGAAAGGGGGGGTCGTGGGCTGTGGTGTGGATTGACGTGTTTTGGGTTGAGAGACCATTGGGAATACTGGCACACAAACAATCCCCAATCTGGTTTGACCACCTGATCCAAAAAGAAGTGTAAAATACCTTGTGAATCAAGCTACAACAAAGCCAAATTGCTCTAATTCAGCTTTTCAGTGTAGTTTTTGTTACATACAGCACTGATGTTACCTGTCTGTCATGGGTTTGGAGGGAACCAACCTGATAGGTTCAGGTGTCTGTTGGTTAGCCAGAACTGATAGGTTCAGGGTCTGTGCTTTAAGTTAAGGGTTCTGTGTGAACCAAACTGTGTGTGTGTATGAGTGAGAATAAGCCACGTTACTTTATCTTATTTACCTGATTGTTTATTTTTCCCTGTGTGTATTTAAAATAAACCTCATTCTTTTTATTGTTTGAAAATCCATCCCTGGTCTGTGTGACTTTTTATAGGGAATGGTTGGTGGCAGCTTAGTGTAACTGTGTGACATATCCCAGTAGGTCTGGGTTTGTCACAGTTTTATCCTTTTTAAATTTCTGTCTCATATTTCTCCCTGAAAGGGCCCATAGTGGGTTACAAATGGCTAAAAGGCACAAATAAAATCACAATAAATTGGAGTGTTATAATATAATTAAACATACTAGTACTGTATTAGAAAACAGATATTTAAAAAACAAAAACACAAAAAAGCACTACTGTATATTGCACTGTCCCAAAAACTCATTTTTCTCATTTCTAGATTCAGTTATAGCTCTAGGATTTTGATCCAATTCTCAAATTCTGTGCTTTGGACATGAAACACATCTCCTGATCCTTATCTGTTATTTATTATAGTAATGTCTGTACTGTCCTTCAGTAGAAATTCTCAGAGTAGTTTACATGAAAAGAAAATCCAAAACCAATTAAAATATGAAGCCAGAAACCTGAGTGTACATTCACTTCAGAGAAATCCCAAACCAGAGCAGACCACTTGAGAATGATTCAGACTTGTTGAAAGCAAAGCTAGCATTTCCCAAATCAGTCCGAACTGACCTGGTTGCTTCCAAAGATTTGGGACTGATTCCAAGTCTTTGGATTATATGTCTGCAGAAACAAATTTTCCCTTAAGCTCACTATACAAGGAAGACATCAGGATGCAGAGTAGACATGGGGGTATTCGTATACCAATATGAATATCCCTGAACAGCTGGAGTCCATTCACATGCCTACCGCTGCCCCTGCTCTTCCTTCCAATTGCTCCAGAGCGCCTGGTGAACTAGTCACTCCTGGCAGAAGGAGGGAAGACGAGTCTCCCTGCAAGGCTCACAAGTGACTCACCCACCGGGTGCTCTGGAATGATTGGAAGGGAGAATGGGGCTGGTGGTGGCAGATGCGTGAGTGGATGTTCTGGACCCAGGGGCCGGACCCTCATTAACTCCAATTGTGCGGGGGTCTCCGTATACTAATACAAATACCCCTATTTCTAATGGGGAGAGATAAGGGACAGAGAAGGGGCATAATTTTGTGATTCACAGCTCTAGCATCCAAATACGGGTGTCATTTTGATGGGGTGTCCTTCCTTCCAACAGTAGCGCTTTGGAGTAGAATGTAAAGATAACAATTTTTGTCCAGTCGTGTTCAACTCTAGGGGGCGGTGCTCATCCCCGTTTCCATGCCATAGAGCCAGCGTTTTGTCCGAAGACGATCTTCCATGGTCACATGGCCAGTGCGACTTAGACACGGAACGCTGTTACCTTCCGACCGAGGTGGTCCCTATTTATCTACTTGCATTTGCATGCTTTCGAACCGCTAGGTTGGTGGGAGCTGGGACAAGCGACGGGAGCTCACTCTGTCGTGTAGATTCGATCTTACGACTGCTTGGTCTTCTGCCCCTGCAGCACACAAAGGCTTCTGCGGTTTAGCCCACCGTGCCACCACGTCCCTTATAGGGACATAGAATGTAGAAGGAAATTATTAGATGCTGCTCCCATATCTTCATTGCATTTTGTGACCGTGTGTGGCAGCAGCCAGATCCTCATTATGGCTTGTGGAGTCTAACTAAATGGGAGACACTGCTCAGTGGGTACTTGTTGACATCAGTTCCTCAAGTACATATATGTCGAGTTCAGCTGAGTCCCCATCACCCGAATCAAGCTCTCCTGAGCACTTTTCTTCTGGCCGCTTGGTGCAAAGAACAGCAACATACCACTTCCTGTTAAAGATAGTGCCTGTGTTTACATATAATAGGAGGCTACCAGCTGCAGACAGTCAAGCAGAGCACATACATGGAAGGCGGGGGGGGGGAGAAATGGCATTTCCACCTGTGCTGCCTCCTCTCCCGCTCCTTAAAATAAAAGCACAGTGATTAACAAGGCTTCTCACTTGAGTTTCAGATTGAAAGGCACACATGCAATGGTAACTCTGAAGGACATTAGCTTACATGTTGAGAGAATTTTAGAGAGCCATTTGGGGCTTCCCATCAGCTTGTGCTGAGGTACAAAGCAAAGCGTGCTGCTTAAAGCAACACATAGAGTTGCATACTATATAATTATTGCAACATGTAGCTGGACTTTTGGAGGAAAGGGAAAAGTCCTCAAGGTTCCATCAAGTTCTAACACAGAATCATGGAGTTGCCAGACGGGGACAAGGTTCATTGAGCCCAATGGCCAGCTGGAGCAGGAAATCCACAGGTCAACCCTGTAGATGGCTGTAGCGGGCCACTCTGAAAGCTCTGCCAACTCAGGCCTCCAGGAATGCTCACTACTCTTCTTCAACTGCCGCCACCACTTATATTTAATATTCAAAAAGGACAAGGGTTTCTTCCAAAACAAAACTTGTTTATTGATATAATAAAATAAAATGAGTAAATCACAGGTAGATAATCAAGTTGTAAATCACTGTTCCTCATTCATTAAATCACACACAGACACTTTCCCTCACTGACTATTTGGCTCACAGGCCTACTAACATGCTAATCACTAACGCTCAATCTCTCCATCTATCAGTCTCTCTCTCTCCCCTCTCACACCTCACACACTCCCTTTTATATTTCAGCTCCTCCCCCTTCTGCACCACCCTCATTGGCTGATGTTCCACTGCCCAGCTGTGACGGACAGGTGAGAGCAGGGTTGTATGTTACAATGGCCATCCAACTTTTTAAAAAATCTCCAATGAAGGAGACTTCATCACCTTCCATTGGGTAAAATCGATAACTTTGTGCCGGTGTAACACAGATCAGGCACCAGAAAACTGTAATTTCGGAAATTACTTAATCCCTCTCTTTCAGGCTCTGAGGGTCCCTAGGGCTCCCTTTGGCTGTTGGAAAGTTGGGAGCTTCAGGGAACGAGGAGGAAGCCTTTAATAGTTGAGGGGGTAGTGCTGCAAAAA